CAGGGGCGCTCAGGGAGAGAGGAGGCAGCTGGTCGATGTTTCTCTCTCATCGATGTTTCTAACTCTCTATCTCTCTCCTTTCCTCTCTGTAAAAACTCAATAAAATATATTAAAGAAAAAAATAAATAAAAGCATAACCCTAACCAGTTTGGCTCAGTGAAGAGAGCGTCGGCCTGTGGACTGATGGGTCCCAGGTTCAATTCCAGTCAGGGGCATGTACCTTGGTTGCGGGCACATCCCCAGTTGGGGATGTACAGGAGGCAGCTGATCGAAGATTCTCTCTCGTCAATGTTTCTAACTCTCTATCCCTCTCCCTTCCTCTCTGTAAAAAATCAATAAAATATATTTAAAAAATAAAAGCATATATATATATGTGTGTATATATGTGTGTGTGTGTGTATAGCTTCTAAAAAAATGTTTTTCAAACAGCTCAGATAAAAATTAATGAAAATTAACTAATTTCAAACAACTCAGATAAAAATAAGTTAATAAGCAGACACAAATTACTTATTAGTAAAATAATGATCTGTACGTAAAGATGATGCCTGAGGATTGCCCTCACCCTATCTGCTAAGTGGAAGGAAGAGCTTACACTGTACTGTCTGGAAAATAAATGGGAAATAATATCTCCCACTTATTTGTGTCTCCTTTCACTGCTTTAAGTAATGTTTGCAAGTTTTCAGTGTAGGCTTTCTGTTTCTTTCATTAAATTTATTCCTAGGTACTTGTGTTTTTTAATACTTGTGTAAATAATATTTAAATTTTTTTTCCATTTCTACTTTTTGCTCTTGTGGCTTTGGTTTTTCAACAGTTTGCTACATGTCTAGGTGTGCTTTGCTTTGTATTATTTCTTCTGGCTATTGTAAGTCATGCTGCTATGAATATGGGTGTACATATATCTCTTTGAGACCCTGCTTTCAATTCTTTTAGATATATACTTAGAAATGGAATTGCTGCATCATATTAATAATAGTAATTTTGTTTTTGTTGTTTGTTAATCCTCACCACAGGATATTTTTTCCATTGATTTTTATAGAGTGGGATGGGGAGACAGAGAAACATCAACACTAGAGAGACACACCGACTGGTTGCCTCCTACATGCACCCCAACCAGGGGTGGGGATTGAGCCTGCAGCTAAGGTTCGTTCCCTTGACTTGAACAAAACCCAGGACCCTTTAATCATGGGCCGGCGATCTAACAACTGACCCAAACGGGCTAAGGCAAATAGTAATTTTACTTAATTTTTGAGAAATCTCCAAATCTCTTAATTTTCCAGAGTGGTTGCACCATTTTTATTTTATTTTAAAAAAAATATTTTTATTGATTTCAGAGAAGTGAGAGGGAGACATAGAAACATCAATGATGAGAATCATTGATCAGCTGCCTCCAGCATGCTTCCTACCGGGGATTGACCTGCAACCTGGGTATGTGCCCTGACCAGGAATGGAACCGTGACTTCCTGGTTTATAGGTCAATGCTCAACCACTGAGCCACACTGGCCAGACATGGCTGTACCATTTTACATTTTCATGAGCAATGTACAGGGCAGGGCATGGGGCACAGGGGAGGGTGGCTCCAATTTCTCCACATCCTCATCAAAAAAATTTTTTTTTATTATAAAGGCATCCTAGTAGGTGTGAAGAGGTATTTCATTGTGGTTTTGATTTGCATTTCCCTAATGACTAATGGTTTGTGCATATTTTCATTTGCTTATTTATTGGCGGCTTGTGTCTTTTTTGGGAAGACATGTCTAGTAAGTCCTTTGCCCATTTAAAATATATATATTTTTTATTGATTTTTTTACAGGGAGAAAGGGAGAGGGAGAGAGTTAGAAACATCGATGAGAGAGAAACATTGATCAGTTGCCTCCTGCACACCCCCTACTGGGGATGTGCCCACAACCACGGTACATGCTCTTGACTAGAATCGAACCCGGAACCCTTCAGTCCACAGGCCGACGCTCTATCTACTGAGCCAAACCGGTCAGGGCCCTTGCCCATTTTTTAATTGTATTGCCTTTTATTTTATTTTTTTATAACATCATTACATTTTTTTTATTGATTTCAGAGAGAGGAAGGGAGAGGGAGATAGAGATAGAAACATCAATGATGAGAATCATTGATTGGCTCCCTCCTGCACACACCCCTACTGGGGATCAAGCCTGCAACCTGAGCATTGCCCTTGACTGGAATTGAACCCAGGACCCTCCAGTCTGCAGGCTGATGCTCTATCCCCTGAGCCAAACCAGCCAGGGCTAATTGTATTGCCTTTTAGTTCTGAGTTGTAGTTCTTTGTATATTCTGGATATTAAATCCTTATTGGATGTATGGTTTGAAAATATTTTCTCTTATACTGTAGGTTGTCTTTTCAATGTCTCAGTGATGTCCATTTTGAGTTAATTTTGTATATGGTGCTGGGAGGTAGGGGGTCCAACTTCATTCTTTTGCATGTGGAAATCCAATTGTATTTGTTGAGACAAGGTCTTATTTTTGTGAATCTGGACAGTAGCACAAGGCTTCCCACACAGTAATCAATAAGTGCTGCGTAAAGCAGTATATTCATATATGTACTTTCTAGAAAAGAATGTTTTATGGTATTGACACCTTGTAATTAGCTAGTTATAAAAAATTGGAAAGGAGCAAGGAGAAGACCAGACATTATAAGCATGTGCCCTAAAGAACACTGGGGAGAGATCCAACAAAGGGAAGATAGACGCATGCCCAGTAAGGTTGGGATGACAGAGGGAAGGGGTTTGTCTGTCAGTCACACCTGGAGAGAGAGATGGTTGGCCAGAATGGGTGTGGCCACTGTAAGTGCTTGGAAATTTGGGATATTTAATCCCCTGAATAAAGGAGTTCACTCTCGTGGTTCCTCTTGGCACACTTGGCTCATGCTTGGCTTCCTGGCATTCTCCTAAGTGGCCCACACACACGGTGGACTAATGAACTAATGGACTGCTGCTAGCCTAATTGTTGTATTGGGCCCAGCTGCAACATGGAACTATAACTCTGGATACCGGCTCTGATTTTAGCCCTACTGAAACTCCAGCTACACTTCTGAGTGAAATAGGGCTTTGGAAACTCAGGGATACAATTCCTCGGAAATAAAGTTTTCTGCCATATTGCATCCTCCTGTGCAAGTCTGAGAAAATCCGTTTCTGCTAGCCTAATTGTTGTATTGGGCCCAGCTGCAACATGGAACTATAACTCTGGATACCGGCTCTGATTTTAGCCCTACTGAAACTCCAGCTACATCTCTGAGTGAAATAGGGCTTTGGAAACTCAGGGATACAATTCCTCGGAAATAAAGTTTTCTGCCATATTGCATCCTCCTGTGCAAGTCTGAGAAAATCCGTTTCTTGGCATATGGCAAGGCCCCCCCCCCCCCCCTTAACAAGGGGGTTAGACACGTTTTTCTCCAGTAACAGTATGTGAAAACTTTTCATGTGAAAATAGTGTGATGAATCAAAATGACAGTTCCAAATTTGCCATTTTGGAACTCTTTACATAAATAACGGGAAACTGTGTGCTGTTTTCTAGATCAACTCTTTCCTAATTTGGACAAGTTCCCATGCCTGAAAGAATTGTCTGTGAATATGGACAAAAAAAATGTTTTTTCAGTTATTCCTGAAGAATTCCTAAAACTCCACAATATGGAGAAATTATTGATTGAAATTTCCGCTGAGAATGGTCCTTCTAAAATAGGTAAGGATGGCACATTGACTTACTTGTTCTTACATCACTTGGTAGAGCTACTTGGCCAATGATTCATTCATTTAAGAGTAAAAGCTTCTGTGGACCTAAGGGTAAAGCCTGTATCCATGGTAAATTGGGGGAATAGCACTTTCTCATTAAGAGAATAGAGAATTATTTGTAATTATTGAGCCCTTACTACATGCTAGGAAATTATTACAAGCACTTTACAAATATGAGATCATTTAACCTTCATATCCATTCAAGAGGTAAAATACTGTTATTCTCATTTTACAGCTGGGAAATTGAGGTATGAAGAGGTAATTGCTCAAGTTCACCCCAACTAAGGAAATGGTAGCCTGTGATTCAAACACAGGAATTCTAACTACTACCAAGGCTGAGCTTTTAAAAAATATCTATTTTATTGATTTTTTAGAGAGAGGAAGGGAGAGGGATAGAGAGTTAAAAACATCGATGAGAGAGAAACATGGATCAGCTGCCTCCCACACACTCCCCACTGGGGGTGTGCCCGCAACCAAGGTACATGCCCTTGACCGGAATCGAACCTGGGAGCCCTGAGTCCGCAGGCTGATGCTCTATCCACCAAGCCAAACCGGTTAGGGCAAGGCTGAGCTTTAACCACTGGTATACTGTCTCTGCAAAATAATTTGTAGAGTTCTTTTATTTTGTTTTAAAGTTACAGATACCTGCCAAATTAGGTGGACGTATGCTGATTGGTAGCAATTGGAAGCATTTCATTTCACCAGCCTATGCTCATGGTTAATGGACATGTACAACCACCTTTCTTAAATACATCATTTAGCAAAATGACTTAGGCATCATCAATTCCTTAGTTCAGTAAAGACGGAACACTAAAGATTAAGGAAATGTAAATCTCTATGGAACTGACATGCAGAGTGGCATGCAAAAGAATTCACTGAGCTGAAGCAGGAAGAAGTTATTTTCTTAAATCCGTTAGCAATTTATGCATCAAATTTAGATTTTTGTTTCAGAGTTGTCATTGCTTTTGTTTCTTTGTATAGTATTCCTATTGTGTAAATGTCATGTGCACACTCAGAAGCATTAAGATATTAAAGCTGAAGGTGAAAAAAAAAGAAAAGAAATAAAGCTGAAAGTGACTTTACTGAGCCAATGCCCTTCTTTTACAGAAAGCTGATCCCCAGAGAGGCTCAGTTCAAGTTCACATAGCTCACTAGTTAATTGCAGAACCTGAACCTCAGCGGCTTGATTCATGGTTCATTACATTGTGGTGCTTTGTTTTAATTCAAGATTGTTGAACCAAAATAACAAAATATGTGACTAATCCTGATAGAAATTTGCATTCTTCCCTAATTTCTTAAATCCTTTATATTTTACAGTTAAATTAATTGAGAATTCTCCAAACCTTAATGTTTTCCATCTGCAATGTAATTTTTTTTCGGATTTTGAGTCTCTCTTGACTGTACTCGCTTCCTGCAAGAAACTCAAAGAAATTAAGTTTTCTGGAGCATTTTTTAAACCCATCCCATTTGGTAAGAGTTACAATTTTAAAATTTTGGTTTAAGGCAGTTTTTAAAAATAGCCAAATTTTAAATATGCAATTGATGCCAAAGAACTATTGTAATAGATATATGATCTTAAATGAGTTATCAAATAAGTTGTATTTGTTTCTAAAAGTTTAAATATTTCTAGTTATCAGGATTATTCCTGCACAAAGACTTACCTATTTAGTCATACTAATTAATTCTATCTGAATTACTGTATTATTTTCTATCACTTTAAAAGTATTCTTTAATCACATTACTTTTTGATATATGAGTTGTAACTGACATAACTAGATTTTTATTTTCCCTTTTATAGTCACCATTCTGACAAATTTTATTTCTCTGAAGATATTAGATCTTAAATTCCAAGAATTTCCCCATAAGGAAACATCTGAAAAATTTGGTATGTATACAAAACAGTGCCTTTTACTTATTCTTTATTCTCTTCCTCCCAAATCCTTCCATCTATTTTGCATTACCTACAACAAATCATAATATGTATTAACTACCTGGCTAATTAGGAGGAAGGGACAGGGCTGCTCAACTTTTACCCTCACATGCCTTGATTATTCTCAGAGTGCCTTATGGGTCGTTACACCACTATGCAATTTCATTGGCAGGTACCCATTCCAAACATGTTAAGTCTGTTGTTTTAAGTTTCTGGGATATAGATAAAACTATCTTTTAAGGTTAAGAAAACTCAATATATGAAAACCCAGATTTAACAAAATGACTAGCTATAAAAAGAGCTTAATTACTTTTTCATTTTTTTTATGATTACAAAAATAATGTATGCTGATCGGGAAAAAACAAACTGAGGCATATTAACAATTTTAAGTTTATTTAAGTAAAAATGGATTTGAATTGGGGAACATCCTGTTTAGCAGACATGTTAAGAAAGGAGCTCTGAGGAGCTACACAGAATGACTTTTATAGGCAGAAGAGAGCAGGAACGAGAAGTTATACCAGGTAAAAGTGTTGGTTGGTGATTGCAAGGATAATTTCCTTTAGGGCAGTGGTTCTCAATCTTCCTAATGCCGCAACCCTTTAATACAGTTCCTCATGTTGTGGTGACCCCCAACCATAAAATTATTTTTGTTGCTACTTCATAACTGTAATTTTGCTACTGTTATGAATCGTAATGTAAATATCTGATATGCAGGATGTATTTTGTTACAAATTGAACATAATTAAAGCATAGTGATTAATCACAAAAACAGTATGTAATTATATATGTGTTTTCCAATGGTCTTAGGTGAACCCTGTGAAAGGGTCGTTCGACCCCCAAAGGGGTCGCAACCTACAGGTTGAGAACCACTGCTTTAGGGGGATGGCAGAGTTCTAAAGGTTGGTAACCTAACCAGTGCTGCTCAGATGATTCCTGATCACCTGGTTTAAGATGCTATTCCTAGGAGAGCTGAAAGCTGAAGTCTTGGTTTGGTGACATGGGACTTAGCATAAGCGACTGTATTTGGGGATTATGTCTTTTTAACTCAGGAAAACATAAGGTGAGTCAGTGGAGATATGAAGTGAACAGTTAGCTCCTTTTAAACTTTAGCATGCTTAGGGATCACTTGGATCTCCTCCTCTTTCTTCCTTTGGAGGCAGCCATGTGGGGAGGGGAAGAGCAGGAGGGCTGAATGGGGCAGAGGCAGGATCAGGGGTCAAGGAAGTGCCTGGTGTAGACAACAGGTTGATTAAACAAATACGCTCAGTATAGTAAGAGCCAAGTTTCCTCACTGTTAGAGAAGGAATTTATAAATATTGAAAGGGTAGGTTAGAAAGAACTCTGAGGTATTAAATTAGATTTGGAAATATTGGTGTGAACCCATGGTGTTTTTTTACAAAGCGTTTTTATTGATTTTATAGACAGAGGAAGCGAGAGGGAAAGCTAGAAACATCGATGAGAATCATTGATCATTTGTCTCCTGCATGCCCCACACTGAAGATTGAGCCTGCAACTCGAGCATGTGCCCTAATTTGGAATTGAACCGGTGACCTCTTGGTTCATAGGTCCACACTCAACCACTGAGCCGCACCAGATGGACTGAACTCATAGTTTTATCCTATTCACATAAACAGATCAACGTATACACAGATATAGATATCCATTTATCTATATATTTCTGTACACACACATTTATATTTCTAAGCTCAGTCAACTGAGACTCTAGAAAATACCTTAATAGCAATGAGCACAACAGATGCCCAGATCTTGATTTCTGAATATTGGCTTCCCAAAAAGGAACACAAGTTCTTGTAGAAATGGCTACTGGGACAGTGAAAGCAAAGGCTGGAACATTTTTTTTTTTAAATCCTCACTTGAGGATATGCTTTTCGCTGATTTTAGAGAGGAAGAGAAACATCAATGTGAGAAACATTGGTTGCCTCCTGTACACACCCCAACCGGAGATCAAACCTGCAACCTGGGTATGGGCCCTGACTGGGAACTAAATTCCCAACCTTTCAGTGTACCAGGACAACACTCCAACCAACTGAGCCATCTGATCAGGGCCTGGGACATTGTTTTAAGGTAGAAAGTGTTCAAAACATCTCCAGGTGTGACGCCTCAGAAGTAGAGAACTTTTTAGGGATCAAGTAATCTATAATGTACCATGTTAAGGATGGAATCAAAGTGAAAAGGAAAAGGAAAGATAGAGTGGTGGATTGTGAGGCTTTAGTGCTGTAAGGCAGAGGGAAAAATCACTGAGATAATAGCAGGAGGTGAGACTGAAAGGGGGCAGAAGGCCTTTAGGAGCTAGGAGAGTATCCAGGATGCCAGGGTAGCTTCAGTCTAAAAGAGGAAATGGGTATGTGATAGGTATTCTGCACTTCAGTGCAGGAAAGACTGGGGAGGGTGAAAAAATGGTTGTCTCGACGTTGTAATGAAGATCAAGGTGGCCCTAGCTAGTTTGGCTCAGTGGATAGAGCATCGGCTTGTGGATTGAAGGGTCCCAGGTTCGATTCTGGTCAAGGGCACATGCTCGGGTTGCGGGCTCGATCCCCAGTAGGGGTCATGTAGGAGGCAGCGGGTCAGTGATTCCCTCTCATTGATGTTTCTATCTCTCTCCCTCTCCCTTATCTGAAATCAATAAAAAAAATATTTAAAAAAAATGATCAAGGTGTAGGCTGACCGCTTTCTCTTGTCTTTGGAGAGGAAGAGGAACAGTCTCTATGCTACAATGGGGCCTTTTGGACTGTGCATGATTTTGAGGCTAGAGACCACTGTTTGAGAACACAGTATGAAAAAGCTTTTTTTTTTGGTCTTCTGATAGCCCACACTTTAGGTTCTCTTAGCAGTCTGGAAGAATTGATCCTTCCTAATGGGGATGGGATTCATCAGGTGGCCAAACTGATCATCCAGCAGTGTCAGCATCTTCGATGTCTCCGAGTTCTCTCATTTTTCAAGACTTTAAATGATGACAGTGTAATGGAAATTGGTGAGTTACCCTCCGATAAAATGTTTCACCTTGCCCTGGATGGGTGGCTCAGTTGGTTGGAACATTGTCCTGTACACCAAAAAGACTGTGGGTTCAGTTTCCAGTCAAGGTGCAGCTCAATCCTCAATCAGGGTGAGTATGGGAGGCAGCCCATCTTTCTCTCTCTTGCCCTCCCTCCTTCTCTCTTCCTCTTTCAAACCAATAAACATGTCCTCAGGTGAGGATTTAAAAAACGTTTCAGCTTGCATGAAGCCAGTGATATTACTCAAGTTTTCTGCTTCAAAATGTCTATACAGTTGCCCGGCCGGCGTGGCTTAATGGTTTGAGCGTCAACCTATGGCACATGCCCTGGTTGCAGGCACAATCTCTAGTGGCATGCAGGAGGTGGCCGATCAATGATTCTCTCTCATCATTGATGTTTCTATCTCCCCTTCTTCTCTGAAATCAGTAAAAAAATACTTTAAAAAAATGTCTATACAGATTTTTCTCTCTCTAAAAATGTTCAATCCACTTCATTATCTCTTTTATTGTTTGTTCCCTCTAATGTCCTGGTCAGATTTGGAAGTTAAACATGTCCTCCCATTTGAGACTATACAAGCTCTCAAGTCTGTGTTTTTAAAAAAAAAATTTTAAAAATACATTTGTGTTTTTTTAAAATATATTTTTATTGATTTCAGAGAGGAAGGAAGAGGAAGAGAGAGATAGAAACATCCATGATAAGAGAGAATCATGGATCGGCCGCCTCCCATAAGTCCCCCACTGGGGACTGAGCCCACAACCCAGGCATGTGCCCTTGACCGGAATCAAACCTGGGACCTTTGTTTGCTGGCCGATGCTCTATCCACTAAGCCAAACCTGCTAGGGCAAATTTTTTATGTTTTTATTGATTTTAGAGGAGGGATGGGGAATGTCTGGCCTGTGGGCTGTATATGGCCCATGAAATCATTTGGTCTGGCCCTTCCAAGCCATTAGGGAATAGTTAATTGTTTGACCAAATATAGCAGGATAATTTTTAAGATGATAATTGTATATGGTACATGAGTGATGTTATAAATATCCAAATAGCCCTTGGTGAAAAAGGTTCCTCACCCCCGATTTATATGTATATATGTGTGCATAAATATATGTATGTATGTATGTATGTATGTATTGGCATTTTCTATTTCCAGTGGTGATGAGAAAGGAGGTTGGTTCAAATAATCTAGTCGATCATTATTGAAACAAAAGTCTTATGATTCCCATTTCATAAATATTTTGCTTTTACAGCCAAAGTAGCAATCAGTGGAGGTTTCCAGAAACTTGAGAACTTAGACCTTTCACTGAATCACAAGATTACAGAAGAAGGATATAGAAATTTCTTTCAAGTATTGGACAACTTGCCAAACTTGCAAGAGTTGACAATTTCCAGGCATTACACTGAATGTATCAGAGCTCAGGCCACCACAGTGAAGTCCTTGAGTCAATGTATGTTACGGCTGCCAAGTCTCACCACAATCGACATGTTAGGCTGGCTCCTGGATGCAGAAGACATCACACTGCTTACTGCGACAAAAGAAAAACACCCTCAATCTAAACTCTTCAATATTCATTGGAAATGGAGATTGCCATTCTCTCCAATCATCCAGGAATAGAAGATTTAGCTAAAAACTACTGAATCAAGAAAAATTTTGTCAACAATTCTAAAAACCTAATCATCCAAAAACATTTTACTAAATATTGCAGGCAAAATAATAGTTATAAAACATGTAAGGCATGTAAAAAAAATAACACCCTGCATGCCCACCATTGAGCTTAAGAAACAGTATTACCAGTATCTTTGAAGTCTCTCAATGACCTTCCCAACTAAAGTTTATACATCTAACCCTCCATAGTCCAGCATTAGCATCAGGTTTTCAGGCTAACTGTGGTAAAGAGAAAGCCAGAAGGAGAGGGTGGAGGGAGGTACACTGATCTAGCTAAAAGTCACAGTGTGGAAGAATTCAGGTTATATATGAAATGACTAACTTAAGGACTAAATCAGTTTCACACATAGGTGAAACAAGAGTTCACTTTAACAGTCTTTAAGAGTCTTTTGTGGGCCAAGAGATATTCCCTAATCCTTGTAGGATCTGTTCTGTATATTTAATTTTGGTGTAGTCAAGTTTACTTGTACCTTCCCTTTATCCACTGCCAATGTGAAGAAGAAATAGGATTTAGAGGAAAATGCTCTAATTCAGAGGCTTTTGATTCAAATGCCCTGACACTCACTTTTATGTTTCTAAACTTCTTCCTTTCTCACATATCCCAACCTCTCCAACTTCCTAAAATCCTTCCACTGTGCCCACATGAGTAACCTGCCTAATATCCTCAGCGTCTTTTCTAAACGTTCCCTGCACCTTCTTATTTTAACTCCATATTTTTTCAAACTTTTTTAAAAACCAAGACCCATAGTAAGGAATAAATTCTATACTGAAAAATTTGCACATTTATATACATATTCACAACTGAAACAAGATTAGAAAAATAACTTTCTAATGTAAAGCTATATTGTACTAATATGCAAATTAACAAATAATAAAAAAACACAAAATCCTTTTAAAGAGTTGTTTATATACACCGCTTTCAGTTATTTATGTATACTGTTTTCTTTCTTACATTTCCTCCCACCAGGATTTTACCTCCTCTTGGCCACCAAAACAGCTCTTATGAGGGTCACTGATGACCTCCACATTGCTAAATTCAATGAATACTTCAGTCTCATCCTACTTTTGTTATGAGCATTTGACCCATCAGTAGCTTTGATGTGGCCCATCACTCCCTCCTCAAAACATTTTCTTCATTTGATTTCCAAGACTTCCCTTCTAATTCACTGAGAGTTCTGTTTCCTTTACTGCTTCTCCTCATACATGATCTCTAAACATTGGGAGTACCCAGGTTTTCCTCTGCCATCTCTATTAAATGCAGTTCCTTGGCTATCTTATGCTGTTGAATGGCTTTACATTCAGTATCTAGGCCAGGGGTGGGCAAACTTTTTGACTTGAGGGCCACAATGGGTTCTCAAACTGGACCAGAGGGCCGGAACAAAAGCATGGATGGAGTGTTTGTGTGAACTAATATAAATTCAAAGTAAACATCATTACATAAAAGAGTATGGTCTTTTTTTTTTTAGTTGTATTCATTTCAAACGGGCCGGATTCGGCCCGCGGGCCGTAGTTTGCCCATGGCTGATCTAGGCTAACTTCTAAATTTTCATCTCTAGTCCAGATCTCTCCTCTGAACTCTACTTTTATCCAACTCCCATTAAGAGCATCTCAAACTTCATATGCCCAAACCCAACTTCTGTCCTTCCTTTCCACCAAAGTACTATTTATTCAGACTTCTCCATCTCATTATATTCCACTTGCCTCGGTCAAAACCTTTCATACTCCACCTGTATATCTATTGGCAAATCCTGAGCTCCATTTGCAAAATACACTGAGCTCCAACCACTACTACCCATTGGTCCTAACGGGTTGGCCTGCTTCTTCCCTTAAAACTTATGATCTATTTTCAACACAGCAGTTAGAAGGTTCTTCATAGAAATGCAATCATGCAACACCTTTGATTCAAAATCCTCCAATGGATTCCCAGCTCAAAGTTAATGCTGAAGATCTTACAATGGCCTACAAATGACCTGACCCCTCACTACCTGTCTTACCTCTCTTTAATCTCTCCTCCTTGCTCAATTCCACTCAGCTGCACTGGTTTCTTTGCTGCTTCCCGAACATGCAAAACATGCTGGTCTTAGGGCCTTTGCACTTGTCATTTCCTTTGCCTGGGAGGTTCTCCCTCATTTATGTGAGTGGCTCTCATTACCTTCAGAACTCTACTCAAATGTTACCTCAATAAAGTTTCCTGACCTTTCTTTTTAGAAAGGCATCCCACTTCCAATCTCACTCTGCCTAACCCCTTTCC